TATAAGAATCAAACTCAAGAATTCCAACATCCAAAGCAAGTATCATACCACCAGACCAAATGCCCAGTGTTTGTCTTAGCATTTTTTTGAAGGTTTTTGAAATTTCAGTGGGGGCGACTGCCCCCATTGGGCCCTTAAATGGGTCCGTCCCTGACTAGTCCTGGAAAAGATTCGCTGAGAAACTTACTCCCACGTAGAAGGGAGAAATGATTGACTCTCATCTATTGTGAGCAATGGTATTATACCAAGACCAACAAGCGGTGTATGAGCTTTGCAACACTTAGGTCAACAGTTTGGGTAAGAAGGTTCAGTTCTTGAAGAAGAAATGTGGCACACTCCAAAAGAAGCTAGATGTTGTTGACCAGGAGAAAACACAGTATAAAAACATGTGCAAGAACGTTGAGAATTATGCCAATACAGAGCTTACTTTACTAGCTGATATTAGAAGTCTCTCTAAAGATTTAATGCACTAAGGTAGCTAATTGAACCTGTGTTAACGAATAAGCTACGAAACTACAAAAATGTGAAGAAGGAACTTCAAATGGCTAAACTTGATTATTTTCTTACATTAAAAGATTTTAAAGAGGTACTGGATGAATTGATTTTGCTTTGTAAAGAATTGGAAAGCAGCAAGGTGAAACTCTCAATGATGGAGTCTGCAGTTGCTGAAAAGAAGGCTTTTAGAGCCAAACATTTTTGAGGAATCCACGCAGGATGGAAAAAAAAAGGTTTTAGATATTATTAGGTGTTTTTATCCTGAAAAGAAAATATGAACTTTTTAGAGGTTCGTAAAGGGAACACCGGTGACATTTAGCCTTTTGAACTCCTCCTATTATCCCTCACTTCAAATGTTTCTCTCCTTCCATTGAGCCTTTCTAGCATGTGGATTCTCAAATTATTTCTCCATGCGAGGTAGCTACTACAACTGAGCCAGCCAATACTTAAGTTTGGTAGGACATGTGTTAGTTGGTTAGAAGAAGCACATTTTTCTTGTGCCACTTTTTTTTTTTTTTTTTTTTTTTCAATTTTAAGTTAATTTTTTTTTTTTTTTTTTTTTTTTTGCCCTTTTTTTTTTTTTTTTTTTTTTGTCAATTTGAAGTTAATGTTACTTTTTTGTTTATTTATTCAATATTGCACTACGTTGTCATTTTTGTAAGTTATTTGTTTATTTTTGGCCGTCAACCATATTTCCTATAACTTTATGTAAATAATTTTATTTGTAACTCGTGAAATATGTCAAACAATGTTGTGTTGTGAAACGCACTATTAAAATAACTTCTATCGCAATTTTCATTTACAAGTATTTTTCTTATGTAGCTACACTGGATTTTTGTCATGCAAATTTCTTACTGAGAGTGAACAGGAGCCCGTCCTATACAGTTTTTGAAGGCAAGAAAAATTGGGAATTATATTATTAGAAATACTCAATCTTATTGCTTTAAAAGTTACTGCAAATTACATTCCACTTTATACATACTAGAGGACTCAGGGGATTGCATCAGAATAAATGTGACTATTACATATCCAAGAAGACTCCTTAAATTAATCAATCAAATGTTGGAATACTAGTAGACACTTGACTAAAAATAAAGTTCAGTAAATGATTTTGAATTCATCAGTGATCATTAATTTGGTTTATTTTCCAACATTGCCTCCCATAAACCAAATTTGCTTTTCATTCCAAGTCTCGCAAGCTGTTTTTTAAAGTTTTGACCTCCAATTGGTTTTGTAAATACATTTGCTACTTGATCTTTTGTTTTGCAGTATTTGACTTGAATTATTCTATCTTGAACAAGCTCTCTCAAGAAGTGATACCTCATACAAATGTGTTTAGTCCTCCCACATAGAACTGGTTCCTTTGTAACAAAAATTGCTGAATTATTATCACACAAAAGAGTTGTAGGAACATCTGCTTGTCGTTTAGATTCTCCAAAATCCCTCGTAATCATACAATTTGGCAGCCAGCAAAAGATGTCGCAATATATTCAGCTTCCGTTGTTGACAGGGCAACAATTGATTGTTTCTTCGAACTCCAACAAATTACTCCACTTCCAATGCTAAAGGCATAACCCGACGTACTTTTACTATCATCAACACTTCCGGCAAGATCACTATCAGTGTATCCAAAGAGTGTAATTGGAACATTTACTTGATAAAAAATGTCATAATCAATTGTCCCCTTCACATATCGTAAAATTCTTTTAGCAGCTTCCCAATGTTCTGAATGTGGTGCTTCCATGAACCTACTTATTAAACTCAGAGCAAACATGATATCAGGTCTTGTGGCTGTGAGATACATAAGATTTCCCACTAAGCTCCTGAACATGGTGATATTAATAAGCTTTCCTTTTCCTTCCTTTCTGAGTTTCTGGCCTAAGACGCATGGAGTTGAAACAGGATTTGCAAATTCCATCTTAAATCTTTTTAGAATCTCTCTAGCATACTGCTCTTGAGTAATAAGAATTTCACTTTCAGATTGGTGTACTTCAATACCCAAAAAATGATGTAATTTTCCCAAATCAGTCATATTAAACTCTTTCATCATCAAGTCTCTAAAATTATCCAACATAGCCAGATTGTTTCTCGTGAAGACAAGATCATCAACATAAAGACTTACACTAATGAAACTTCCATCAGAACCATTTTTGATGTAGAGAGTATGTTCATGTGGACTTCTATGAAAACCATTTGTTTCAAAAAATGCATTGATTCTACTATACCAAGCCCTTGGTGATTGTTTTAAACCATATAAGGCCTTTTTCAACTTGTAAACTTTATGCTTTTCTCCCTCTTTCACAAAACCAGGTGGTTGTTCAACATAAATCTATTCTTCGATAAAACCATTTAAAAACGTAGATTTAACATCCATTTGCAAGAGCTTCCAGTTATTTTCAGCAACTAGAGAAATTATAAGCCGAATAGTGTCAAGTCTACAGACCTGGGTGAATACCTCATTGTAGTCTTCTCCCTTTCTTTGCACATACCCCTTTGCTACAAGCCGAGCTTTGTGTTTGTTGACTAAATTGTCTGGATTCAGTTTAGTTCTGAACACCTATTTTACCCCTACAGGCTTCTTGTTTGGTGGCAAATTTGTGAGCTCCCACGTATTGTTCTTTTCAATGGCATCAATTTCTTCCTTCATGGCATTTCTCCATTTTTCTTCTTTGATTGCTGCTTCATATAAAATTGGATCTTCACCTGCAAAAAATGCAAACAAAGCGGCACCTTCTTCATGAGTAGGTTCTGTAGACTCGTAGATTTCTTGCAATCTTCTCATTTTTGTTCTTGGTGGCTCTTCATCACATTCTTCTCTTCTAGAAGAACTTGGAGGTGAAAGGGATCCACAACTTGACAAATTTTCACAGTTTTCATTTGAGGTATTATCTCCTTCTTGAAAAATTATTGATTAACTGCTCTCATTACCTTCAAGGGTTGCATTTTCATCGAACTTTACATCCTGACTTATCACAATTTTCTTCGTCAATGGATTGTATAATTTATAACCCTTAGACCTTTCACTATATCCAACAAAAATGCATTTCAGACCTTTATCATCCAATTTATTCCTTATAGCATCCGGTATATGGGCAAAAGCAAGACTAACGAAGATCTTTAGGTGTGAAACTTCTGGTTTAGAACCATACCGGCTTCATGTGGAGTCATGTTACTCAAACTTTTTGAGGATGACCTGTTGATCAAATATACTGCACAAACAACTGCCTCTGCCCAAAGTTCTCGTGGTAGTTGCTTTCTTTTAAGCATGCATATTCCCATTTCCATAATGGTTCGATTTTTTCTTTCAAAACTCAATTCTACTGTGGCGAATATCGTACAGTCAGTTCATGTCTTATTCCAAGGTTTCTGCACAATTTTTCAAAGTCTCTTGAAAGATACTCAGTCCCACGATCAGTTCTTAATGTCTTAATAAAAAATCCAGAAAAGTTCTCAACTTCAACTTTAAAATCTTTGAAAGCATGAAAGCAATCAGATTTTTCTTTAAGAAAATATGTCCAAACATTTTTGCTAAAGATATCAATGAAAGAGATAAAATATCTGCTACCTCCAAGAGATAAAACTGGAATTGGTCCGCACAAGTCTGAATGGATAAGTTGTAGTGGTTGTCTGGCTCTCCAAGATGACTTGTGTGGAAATGAACTTCTATGTTGCTTTCCAAGTTGGCAGGCCTCACAAACTTCATTCAGTTGTTCAATATGAGGAAGACCATCCGCCATTTTCCTTCCTCATAACAATTTCAAAGCTCCATAATTTAAATGCCCATACCTATCATGCCATAGTTTCCAAATTTCTCCATTTGTGCTAGTGAAATGAGAAGCAACATTAGTAACTGTTAGCTAAATAGGAAACATATTATTTGATGCCAATGGGATCTTTGTGACAATCTGATTTTCTCTGGTCAAAATGCACAATTTATCATGTAAATTGATCTCAAGACCCTTTCTAAAAAGGTGGCATGCACTTAATAGATTGCTTTGCAAACCAGGAACATAACAAACATCAGACATCTTTTCAAGCTTTCCCGTCTTAGTTTCAATCATTATATCTCCAATCCCTTTAATTGCAAAAGCTCTAGCATCACCAACTTTGACTTGCCCTAATTCTGATTCTACCAGCTTAGAAAACAAGTTTTTGTTTCCAGTCATATGCTTAGTAGCACCACTATCTAGATACCAAACATCATCATTTTGCATTTTTTTCACATGTTAATAACAAAGTTTTAGAAGTGTACTTTTCATGACAGTCATTTTTATGAATGAAACTAGTTTCTGCTTTATCCTCATTTTTCTTGTTCCAGCACTCATTGCTTTTATGGTCAAGTTTGTGGCAATGATAGCATTCAACATATTCCTTTCCCTTATACCAACAATCACTACTTTTATGATTAGTTTTATGACAGTAATAGCATTCAGGGAATTCTTTTCTACCTCTTTGATGATATCCTCGACCTCGACCTTTTCGAAAATTGCTTGTCTGGTCATCGTTTACTTCTTCTTTGAACACTCCACCACTTTGAAATCCTCTTCCTCTTCCGCGAGAATGGTGGCCTCTCCCTCGACCTCCAGATCGTCCTCTTCCTCTAAAGGTATTAGAATTAGAGCCTCCGAAATTTGAGATTTGAGTGCTTGATCAGGGAGTGACGGATTCCTGTGCTTTACTCGCAGTTCATGAGATTTTAACGATGCAAGTAAATCATCTAATGAAAGTGTTTCCAAGTCTTTAAATTCCTCAATTGTGGCAGCAATGAAATCAAACCTTGATGGTAGACTTCGAAGAACTTTTTCAACAACTTTCTGATCTTCTAAACGTTCGCCATTGAATGCCATTTGATTTATAATTGTAGTAACCCTTGTGAAGTAATCAGAAATACTTTCTTCTTCTTTCATTTCAAATTTCTCGAACTCTAATCTCAAGGACTGTAAGCATACCTTTTTTACTTTCTCTTCTCCAAGGTGTGTTGTCTGCAAAATTTCCCAAGCTTGCTTTGAAGTTTCATCTTTTGCAATTCGTTCAAACACCGGTCTTTCAATTGCCTGGTAAATGTGGAAAAGGGCTTTACTGTCTTTTTCTCGCTTTTCATTCAAAGCATTTCTTTGTGCTTGAGTCATTCCATCTTCAGTCTCCGGATCTTCAAAACCTTCATCAACAATATTCCAGAGCTTCATAGACTTCAGCAACACTTTCATATTGTGACTCCAATATTTATAATCTTTCCCATTGAAACAAGGAATAAGAGACACCAGATTACTTGGATTTGCCATGATTTTCTTTTCCAGGATATGTTACTACTATTTTATTCTGAGAATAATTTTTGTAATGGTCGAATGCCCTGATACCAGTTTGAAGGCAAGAAAAATTGGGAATTATATTACCAGAAATACTCAATCTTATTGCCTTAAAAGTTACTGTTGATTACATTCCAATTTATACATACTAGAGGATTCAAGGGATTGCATCAGAAAAAATGGGACTATTACATATCCAAGAAGACTTCTTAAATTACTCGATCAAATGTTGGAATACTTGTAGACACTTGACTAAAAATAAAGTTAGTAAATGATTTTGAATTCATCAGTGATCATTAATTTGGTTTATTTTCCAACAGTTTTGCTTTCTGGGATATGGATTTCAGTCCAACTTTCACTTGGCAGGATTCATCTTGCCTTTAAATGGAATTTTATTAGTGGGATAGATTCGCCTTTAATTACAGCTTTGTTGGTGGAAAAAGTCTCATCGTTACTCAGAGAATCAGTGGTGGAACTGACTTTGCTATCAATTAGTATGTCATTGTAGATGAAAAGAAACTCTCTTTTCCATTTTTGTTTATAGAACTGCTGCAACCCTGTTTCAAGTCCAACTTTAGTTTAACCATTTTTTCACACATGTTTCCCTTAGCGCTTGCCAAGTTATCTGTACTAATAGATAGGGTTTTCAACCTATCCTTAACATCACGAATATTTGCTTACCCAAAAGAGGTTTTTGAAGCATGTTCCTTTTAATTGTCAAGGTAGTATCAACTATAGGACCGCTTGGGACTGGTACCATAGGGAACTGAGGTAGCACTTGCATGTCGCTACTTAATTATCCCTCAAATTTTAAGCATAGGTGATGGATTGAGGTTACTTTCTTTGATTGTTTCAGACAGGGCCTTCTGAGGATTCCATCGTATACTGACCTGTTATCCAGGGTTAGGAAACTTATATAACTTTAAAATATAGTTAGCTCTTCATCTATATCTATCGCCAGCATAATCTTTCCTTTTGGGACCAGACCGTCTTCAATAAAGCCATAAAGGGATTTAGCCATGGATATCTAGAGGTGATCTACTTACATTTGGTCAAACGAACACTAAAATAAAATATTTATAGAGCTACTATTATTTAGCAGAATGTGGTTTAGGTAGTCTCTACTATCAATGCATCATAGTTGGGATATATGATTTCCTGCTGATCATGACTATTAAATATAATTGGAAAAGATACAGTTTTCAGGATTACCTCGGATCCAAAAGTTTTCGAGTGTGGGCTTTTTAGCAACTCGGTATAATTCCTTTGTGCATTCACTATTTTTTTGCCAATATAGGAAACTTGAATTATATTATAGATCCCTTTCATAGGAGGTCTAGTATGGGCTCTCTACTGGTGCTCGCAATGAGTCTGTCTGCCTTGGCTTACCTTCGTGACCTCTCATTTCCACTTGGGTATGGAAGCTTTTGGCTTTCAGAACTTTTGTGCATCTGCTTTGTTGACTTTGAAGCTTTGCTATCCCGATTACTTCTAAGCATTCGTCTATGTCATGGTCCCTGCTACAATGAATTTTACAAAATTTTACCATTCAAATTTCAATGACCGGAGGTATTTCACCTCTCACTTGCGAAGGTGATAAAGAGATCTCATGTATTTTGCCTCTGTAATTTCTAAAGGGCTTGAGAGTACTGATGCTTCAACGGTCTAGGTACATAAGCTGAGGCTCTCTTTAAAAGCTTGCCCTTGCTCTATCTTCGTTTGATCCTCTATGGTATCCTCCATCTGGATTTTGTTTTGTAACAAGCTTACAAGTTGGTAATGGCAGGTTGGATTCTTATTATAGAGATCCCACCAGACGGGAGTATCCATTGGCAAGTTGTTCCACAAGTTATTTGAGTGAGTTGAAAGTATAATTCTATAGCGCATAAATTTAAATTCAAGTTTACTAATCTGGAATGAAATTCGAATTATATAAACAAAAGAGATTTTGATTTGTGATTATTCTAAATTATGCTAAAAAATACGCAGAAAGTGTTTATCAAATTATGAATAATTGTATTGGATTTGAATCCCTCTATTGCTATCAATCTTAATTTTCAATTATATAATTTAGTTCCATTCATGCATTCTTGACAAATCGATAAAGCTATAATAGTTAACATTCTTTTCCAAAATAAGTTAAATCTATTCTAATCATGACCCAAATCTAATCCTAGTATGAATTCAAATGATTAGAATACATAAAATTTTAGATTATCTGTAGATTGTACATGCGATATTGTTATTCCTAATATTTATTGCTTGTGTCTTAAACTTGTTGCATTCTAAACTTATTAGGACTCTTTCAACACTACACCAAGCAGCTAATTATATAATTGATGACGAAGTAATTAAATAATGAAATGGAAATGAAAAATAACTTAAAAAAAGCAAGAAATGCTAAACTATTAGTTTTGAATTTAAATAAATAAACAATAGGATTTATTTTTATTAAATACAAAAAAGGGATATAGCCTAACATGATTTTATACAAATTACAAGAATAATAAAAAAATATCAATTGGTTCATGAAATAATGCAAAAGATATTGATCTTCAAGTTTAAGGTTGAAACTTCAATTTCTTGATGTAATTAGCTTCATTTCTTTCTAGGTTTTGATCTTCTCTCTTAAAATACAAAAATTGGCTTCTTTTTCTTGATGAATTTAATGATATGGTAACTAAAGGCTAGACAGAATTTTTTCACAATGGTAGCCCTTGGTTAGAAATTAGGTAAAAATCACATGTAATTTGGGTTTGAAAATAGTTTAGAAATGTAGAATGAAAACTAGCCTGTCAGTTCGATTTGCACGTTTTGCCCTGAGCATTTATTTCTTTTTTTATCGTATCTTTTTCATCAATATTTGAATGAGGCAATTCAAAGTGCGTTAGAAAGATAATGCAAAGGGATACAATTCTTCTAGAAATATCAGTTTTCCAATTCAAACATTTGTTATAAGCTAAAAACTTGAAGCATAATTTTTTCGACAAAAAATTGATTTGTAAAAATACATTGTCTATATATTTCACACCTCTGACATTGATTGCAACCAGTTGATCATATGTGATCTTCATCATCATTTTGTTATCAAAATCAATTATTGTATATTTTCACTTTGATCCCCAAACATTGGGTTTCCTCCATTTTTGCAAAAATTTTGCACATTTTGTCTAATTCCTTCAATTTGAATGGAGCTTTATATATATATATATATATATATATCATCTTGACCCTTTTCGTCAAATATATTTTCTTAAGCGATTAGCTCAATAGTGAATCACGCTAAGTAGTTCTTAAGGTATTCACCTTTCTCTTGCCTCATGTCATTTAGTCTTATAGATGGCATTTGTTCCATCCTACTACCTGGAAATGTCCCTGGAAAGGCTTGTTTCAACTGCGACCAACTTTGAATTGATATACTATCATTTGGATGGTACATCCAGTGTCAGCTACTAGCCTTGGCACTTGAGTGTAGGGTTAGTTTTTTTCAATTGTATTTATATTATACACACAGATTAATGGTACATGGGATCACCCTCACCCCCATATATCTACATAATTGGGCGGGCAAATTTATCCAAAACTAGTTCCTCTCTAATTTCCCTGGAAAATGGTAGATACTCATCATTATCTAACTTATATGACCTTGTAGGCCATTTCTCAAATTCCTCGTATATAGGACTGTTACAAGAGACATTGATCAAACTATTGATTCTCCTACCTTCGCAGCGTCTATACTTTCTACAACGTGGGGTAACTTCTTTCAGAAACCTTTCTTTGGCGGGCCCATTTATTCACCACCACTTGCCTTGTCTCTTTGGAGCATTATTGTTATGTCTATGAATTATCACTCCATATTGAGTCATTTTATTGTACCTGATCTAGGCCCATTAGTGTTGGGTCCCAAAGTCGAGGCTCTAACAAGACCAACCGAGGCGCAGCCGAGGCTCTAAGAAGTCTAGCCAAAGCGCCTGTCGAGGCGCATATTATTTTGCTCACCTCGTATTGGGCTCAGACTTAGAGCCACTAACCCGTTTGGCCCGCTTCACATCCATTTCTCTATATATATGGATTCAATTCACACAATCTAGGTATGTTCAAAATACTCTAGCCAAATCCCCTATCTCTCTACTATTGCACTCTATATATCTATCTCCGTCCGGCCGCTGACTTGACCGTCGGAGTGCAAATGGTCGCCGGACCTTTTTCTTGTCCGGCCGCCTTTGCCTCTTGACGAGTGTTACATGCGCAGGTTTTGAGGGAACAAAGCTAGGGTGCCTGTTGGAGCCATTTTTGGAGGTCAACAGATTGGCGTCGTCTGTGGGCAACGCTACGTTAACCATGTTATACCACGTACCTAAAGGTCGTCGGAAATTGAAATATTTACGGGTGGCAGTGTTCTACCAAAAGAGAAAACGACAGCAGCCCGAGAGGATTTTCCAAAAAATTTTACTTCTTTCAAAATGGAAGAAATTAGCAATCAGAGATGAGGAAAAATGGCCGCCGAACCATTCGAAAAAAAAATTCCTTGAAAAAGAAGATTTCCGGTGAACATGGGTTGAAAAATTTCGTGAAGAACAACTACTACCTATTACTGGTTGCAAAAATTCATCATCAAAATGGTCAAGGAAATGGGGATATATCCATTATCCAACAAAAACCTACAAAAAGTCTTACTCCCAGAAAAGATTCTACCTTGTTCCTCTTTTTGCTTGCCCTATCCGTCCATTATTTGGAGCAAACCCAACAACAAATAAACGTACAAACAGCCACAAGGAAAAAGAAGGGAATAAGGAAGGAAAAAGCGTACTATGGTGACCAAGAATAACAAAGGATAATGGAACCTTCACTACAAAATCTCCTTCACACCACATACAATTACAAATAATCAAATACTCTAAAAAACACCACTTTGTTGCTGTACAAATTATTCCACAAACTCAACCATCAAATTGCCAAAAGTCAATTGGGAGTTT